TATATTCTGGAAACTGTTTTATTGAAAATGTTACAAGCTCCCCTTTCCTAATGGTAACTCTACCGTCTGTCTAGACCACATTATAGCCACATTTCAACTAAGGGATATTGCTAGGGCTTGTTATAAAATTGCTGAGACCTCAGTTTACAGCTTTTGCAACCATCTGCATCTAGATCAGAGCCTCATAATTTCATCTTTGTGAGTAAAAAAGGTTTATCTTAAAAAATTTTATGGAAAACCTAACAGCAAGCAGGTTACATGTGCGCATCACTTTCTCAACCTCCAATTCGACATTAAACCTTTTTCTGGCAAGATGGTTGAGCTCAGCAACGACTATTCAGCCGGTATTCCATCATTTTTTGGAACAGGTAGTAGGCGAGAGATGATCATGCAAGAGTGGGCAGCGCACTCTTTTCGTGATAAGTTATTTGGCCCATTTTTCTTATATGAGCTCTCCTGTGTAGTGACATATTTACCGATCTGGACTCTTCATGATTTCTTTGCATGGCTACTTGATTGTTTGCTTCAAAACTCCTACAACGTTTCTAATTAACGGACTTGGCCGTCAATTCGACTCTCCGATAATTTGGCATTTCAGAGCGGCACTCGCCCAGTCGTCCATTCGGAGCCGTTTGTTTCCGGCCGCCATGGCTACAAATTCGTTGCCAGTGCATGTCTGTTTGGAGATGGGCAATGTTGGTTTAAAAAACAACTAAGCGGATAATTTTTTCATATAACAAAAATCAAATACCAAGGATCAAGTCAATTTCGCGAAAGAGAACATTTTTCTTCAGATCACAAAAAGCAATTAATTAGATGCCGCTGTTGTTTTGAAAAAATCAAAAGTTTTCGGCTTTGGGTTTTCTAGCAATCTTCATTATCAGTCTTACGAGAACCTGGATTTGATTTTTTTTTCAAATTAATCTCTGTGGACGCATAGCAACAAACTGCACATCTACCCTCGTCACCCAAACAATTTTCGCTTGAACACGATTGAATAGAGGGCTGCATGTCTTCTAGCTAGGTGGAACTGCAATTTTGCGGTTATCGTATTTTAAACTGTGCATATAAAAGATGCTTGTTTATTGAATATTTAGAACTAATTACGCGGTGCAAAGTTGCAACCATTTGATGAAGCAAAAATGAATTTTTATGTGATAGGAAAGGAAAAAACAGTTATGAAGGAAATAACAAGATGTTGAAAAGCTGCTAAAGAGCAAACTTTCATAAACCAAGTGCAGTATTCAAACTATTCAATTTAAGACAAGCTGTAATAATTTATTCAAGTTAAGTGTAAGCTGTAAAAATTTCTTTAAGTTAAGTATAAACTGTAAAGCATTCCGAGAGTGAGCTTCTTGGAGTAGGTAAGGCTTGTGTTACTTCAAATTTCGGTATACTATCCTTTGAAATTCCTTTGTAGATCGCGGCAAATTTATGGCAGTATATCTTACACTCGTTCGGGGCAAGTACGATCCGCTGTTGGAATGGCCATTTGATCTTTCAGTTTACATTACGCTTCTCGATCAGGTCTGTATCATATATCACCTATGTTCTTCATACTAGTCGCACTAAGGCAATAAATCAAACGGCTTTCAGAATTCCGACCCTACTCAACGATGCGATATCTCGT